GGAAGTGTCTGCAGTGCGGACTGCTGGAGACTCAGCTTGGGGAAGAACCAGGATCTTTGTGGATCTAAGACCGACACTCCACATCTCTGGGAGCATCTCCAATTCCAGCGCTTGGATCTCCAAATACACTGTTTTTGCAAATGTCTTCCTCTTCTGCACTTGTGACAGACACTCCAATCTTCTCAGATAAAAGATCTCAAATTGATACAAGGTTTTAAGCAAATATTCACCCTCTCTAATTTTATTATGACTTCCAAAGCTTAGACCAGATATTCTGACAGGGAATTACTGCAAGCTTTACTGAAACTCAGAATTAAAATCAAGCAGTTTCCTCCTGTTCATCAATACTTCTCCTTCTCTATAGCTTCGTAATCTATAATTTGTTTCATAACAATTCTTTACCCTAGGAAAAAAATTTGCCTGACATAGAACCCACTTGTGATAAATCTGAAATGCTTTCCAGAATGAAGGCAGGAAGTTTTCCCGTAACTATCTCTGAACTGCTTCCTTGTTAAGAGTTCGGGGCCTGTTAGACACCTATGTGGGTGGATCAGTTTGGATTATTTGTGCAAGCACACTGACAGGGGCTGGCCACACAGGGGGCCTGTTGGACACCTACGTGGGCGGATCAGTTTGGATTATTTGTGCAAGCACACCCACGGGGGCTGGCCACAAAGGGGGCCTGTTGGACACCTATGTGGGCGGATCAGTTTGGATTATTTGTGCAAACACCCCCACGGGGGCTGGCCACACAGGGGGCCTGTTGGACACCTACGTGGGCGGATCAGTTTGGATTATTTGTGCAAACACACCCACGGGGGCTGGCCACACAGTTCTGTTTCATAAGTTCAGGGGCAATAGGCGCTCAGGGTTGGGATCAGGTGGAGCCAGACCTGACATTTCCATCTGACACTTACTAGCTCAGCGAGTTTGGACAAGGATGAGACCTCTCTAAGCTGAGGCGTAGCTGTCCACCTGTAAAATGGGGCAATAACAGTTCCTATTCAACAAGTTGTCATGGCATTTGGGAATTCAGCATCGTAATCCATAGTACGCCACTTCCTGGTGCGGTGGTCTCATGTCACTTCACAGCTTCCCTGCTCCCACTTGTAACCAATGGAGAGGAAAGGGCTGACTTGGCATGCTGGGAGGGTAAACTACGTCATGATTACAGAAGCTCTGTCAACAGCAAAACTGCAAAATACTTCTCTCGTTTTTCTATCTTGATATTCTTTTTGTGATGGTTGTTTTAAGAAATTAACTTTCTAGCCGGGTGCTGTGGCGGGCGCCTATGGTCCCAGCTACTTGGGAGCTGAGGCGGGAGAATTGCTTACACCCAAGAGTTGAAGGTTCCTGTGAGCTGTGACGCCACAGCACTCTACTTAGGGTGACAGTTTGAGACTCTATCTCAAAACCAAACCAAATCTTTCTTCCTTTTTCCTTCAAGTAAAATCTGGACCCTTAGCCCAAACTCAGACTCAAAGTTTCTGAGTTGTCGGAAATTCATTGGACAAAGAGCACAGTTGAGTGAGAAATGGACAAATTTTTATTAGAGATTTTATGAGCAAAAATAAAATCAATCAACTTCTAGGAGTCACGAAAAGTACACATCAAAGTACTCTGCTCATAAAGATGTGATCTTAACCCATTTTCTGCTTTCAAACTCCATATTTAGTAAAGGCTCTCTTCTATAAAAATCATAAAACACATTTGGAGTTATTTTTAGTTTGGAGCGAATATGGTAAGGGTTTAAAGGAAGAAAACACACCGCTGATGTCCTGTTTTTATTGCTGCAACTACTTAATAACTTCTCATCTAAAATTTCTTTTTGTATTTTTTTTGTTTTATTTTACTTTCTTGGGTGGCACCTGTGGCTCAAAGGAGTAAGGTGGTGGCCCCATATGCCAGAGGTGGCGGGTTCAAACCCACCCCCAGTCAAAAATTGCAAAAAAAAAAAAAAAAAAAAAAAGATAGATTATTTTATTTTCTCCTCAAAGAGAAAATGTTTTACTCATATAAATGTGACATACCATTATGTTTTGAGAATTGTCTGCAACAAAATATTACTGGTTTAGGAAAAGATATTTCACCCTCTTTGGTGACAGTGGCCCAGGCTGGACGGTTTGAATTTTAGATGAGGAAACTATATCATATGCCACCGTAATACATAACAAGTTATAACTGAATTGTTTATGAGCCCACTCTGACAATGTCACAACCCGCGCTCAACAAGCATTTTAGCGTCCGGTGGGATACGGGGTAAATAACATCTTGGGTCTCCCCCTCTGTGCCACTGTTACATGGTGCCTACAGTATATGTTACGCTTTATGTTACAGAAACTACCCGTGAATCCTAACAACTCATGGGCAAACTTATTAGTTTATAAAATATTTTTTTCGGTTTACATGAAAGGCTAAAGTCAAATTTCTTAATTCAAAAACAAGGTACTTAAGGTCCACTGGGAACATACCCCAAATATAAATTTATGCACGTCAATTGATAAACAGAGTAGGGAGTATTCAGCAAAGCGAGAGAGGAGAAAGTAAAGAGCTTTGAGAGAAGAGTGTGTCTCACTCCCCATGTGCGGGAGCTGCGCAGCTGCTTTTAGAGGCTCCCTCTGCCACCAACCCACCAGGATCACCTCAGACTACTGGTCCAGATTAATCACAAGGACAAAAGTTAAGGCCTACTTTTGGAACAAGACAAAAGAACAGAAGAGGCCATACTAACTTTACTTGGGAGGAAAAATACTCTGAACTAAAATACCTCAAATACTTAGGAAGAGGAGAACTGATTCTTGATATAAATGAAGGGTCCCTGTTACAGATCTCCAGGTACGCAGAGCCTGGACGTCCAGCACTATGGGCTGGGTGGCAGGAGCAACTTCCTCTGTATTAAGTAGCTGCTCTGACGCTCACATCACCGCCTGAGCCCGCCTCCTGTCAGATCAGCTGTGGCTTTAGTAAGGAACACAAATCCTACCGCAGACGTACTTGTGAGGCATCTAGGTTGTGTGCTCCTTAAGAGATTCTAATGGGCCTCCCACCCCAGCCATGGAGAAATTACCTTACATAAAACCAGTATCAGGTACCCAAAAGGGTGGGGACAGCTGCTCTCAAATTTTCGAGCTGACAGGTAATGGAGTGGTCAGCGTTGGGTCCCACAGCCTGGGCAGACTTAATGTGCTGAATTTAGTAGGTTGGAGGCTCCATATGGGTGTTTTGGGAAGCACGGAGCCTTTATAGATACCTGGAAGTCAGCCCCTGCCCGCAGCTCCTGTTAAGGTGCCTCCCAGATGTCCTCAGCTTGGCAGGGGGGCGCAGAGCTTGTAAATGCCAACATCCTGACCTGTGGCTGGCGTGGCAGAGGCACCCGCCTCCTGATGCAAAAGGACTGGACACTGCCCACCCTGGATGACACGCTCCACAGCAGCCTCAGGATCAGTGACCTTCCTGCATAACTCAGCTGTGGGAGTGGGAGAGCCTTCCTCTGAGGGAAGCCCCTCAATTCAGATCTAGGGTCCATATGATTAGGAGAAAAACAGTTCTCCTGGAGCTGAAGGTGTGACAAATCTTAGCACTCACTCTACAGCTTGCAGTCAGGTGGTTTTCTCATTTAGAGCAGAAAACCTCCTGAATACTTTACTTACATCTCTCCAGTTCTCCTTATAGAATTAAAAATAAATTAAATATTCAATGGGATTCTTAGCTCCAAGGCCAGCTTCCCCAACTGCTTTCGTGAAGATACTGCGGAATGCTCCAACTATTTGTCATTTCAGATATATTTTTCTAATAATCCAAAAGCTGTATTACCACAGAAGGAGCTGTCAGTGCCAACAGATTTAAAGCCCAGTGTCCAATTCCGCCGTATTTTTACTGCAACCCAATGTACACTGTCACATGGTGAGCGACCATTAGCCCTGGGCCTCCATGGAGGGCTGCGCCGACACCCCAACACATAGGAAGAGAAGGCTGACGCACAGCCTTTCCAGACTCTTTCAAGGTGAAGTAAGAAAAAGACCCAGATGCATATTGGGGGGGGGGGGGCGAGAAAGAAATGTGGCAAAAAGAAGTTTGTAGAGACGGCTAAAGAAATGTGACTTTTATTCTGCACATTCTGGTTTCATCTCATTGATTCAGGGTGTCCTTGATTAAAACAAACTGTGCCTGGTTCTAAGATGCCTCCAAACCTGTCCTCCCTCTTCCCTCCACCTTTTTGGAATCAAACAAGGAGAAAGCTTTCTAACTGCTCCTCACGGCAGGTTAATGGGCACCTGTGTTCTGATTTATAGCACGCGCTGCCTTCCCTGGCCCTGTGTTAGGTAAGGAAATCAGCATGGAGGTGGCACAGTAGGAGTGACCTTCCACTAATCACTGCGCCTCGGTTACTACTGGCACAGCTCATTATAAAAAGGAATCTTTCAATGAGCTGGCTTTCAAATACAGTCACACTTTGATTTTCTCAAGAACAAAGATTATACTTTCACATAAAAGCTTCTGATGCACAATTCTGTCAACTGGGGCACTAAAGTAAAAAAGGCACCCTGTTAATTGTCTGTCGTTATCAAGGGGCTGTAAACGGAATCAAAGATAGGCCTGCGATTCTGGCTTTCATTATGGAGGTCAGAACATTTTTATTGACTGCCTATTATTAAAATTTTAAAGGGATGTCAATCATTTTGGCTGCCCTGGATATGGGAATCTTGCTGGAAATCCCCCAGTAATCAATCTTGTTTAAAAAGAAAAAAAAATACAAAACAACCGAACACCAGCAACCAAATGGCTGGAGAACACATACAGGTGTACCAAGCAGGAATTCTTAGATCCTTCATTGTGTAGCTGCTGGAGCACCGATGGGTGGGTAGGGAACGGGAGTAGGTCTGGGAATTATCCTTCCTTCTCCACCCGCACACCCCCCGCCCCCTTCTCCTTTTCTTTACCCTTGGAACCAACCCAAAATTCAGACAATAGCTCAAAGGAAAGGTGTGCTCTGGACTTACCAGCCATTTGCTGAATGCCACTGAACGCACCCAGGTTGCTGGAGGAGGTGGCCTGCTGCAGAAGCTGCAACGGAAAGCACAGGGCACAGTCAGCTAAGGTGGCGATGAGGACAAAGTCCCTTCCCCTCTGAACTGGGGGTGGATGCAGTTTACCTTACATTTACAGAGCTGGTTGCTACTGCCTAGTGATGCACTGAAGGTCCCCAGGGCTGGGGCTGTAAATCCATATTAATGTCTAATCTCTATTAGGAAATACGGACACCGGGGAAACTCACTAACACTGCTGCCTTAAAACAATTAATCAATTTACTCTTTTTAACAACCAGGTGTTCAATCTATTGAAGCCAACACAGTGTGACTAATTATCTCTCTCTATAGTCTGGTAGTTACCATAACTCATCTCTGTCAATCAAGGTCCACTCCCTCATCTCGCCTACTTTCCTGCACGTTCAGAAGCACCTGGATTCACTGACTCTGGGACCACAGGGATCAGCGCGACAGCTACAAACACCACCACATCTACTCACAGCCAGAACCAAAGGACCAAGCACAGGACCAGCCATTTTTAAGATGGCCTTCATGGGCAGAGAGAACGGTGCTTGTCAAAACTGGGAATTACCTGTGCTATGTACGTCAAAGCTATTCATTGTAAATACGCCCATCTTTTAAAAAAAAATACTCATATACCTGTGGGAAAAAACCTGCATTTCTCCCCAGGGCATTGAACACATTTTTTTCCTGCCCTGCAGAATCAATGGGTGCCACAAGACAAAGGCATGTGGCTCCTGTCCCCGAGTGCTCCTGGACTGGTCCCAGAATTGAACTGAAGGTTTATTTAGGGGCTTGACAGAGTGCTGGACTAGATTTATGGACGCTCCCTTTGTAAGGCAGACAGACACAGCTTACAGTGGAGGCAAGCGTGTCCTTACATTCCAATGTGCACGGATACTAAAGAGCGTAGGTTTACTAAATCCACCTTACTACTGAAATATTGTTGCCACACTACGTGCTCAGGAGAAACAAGATGAATTCAACTACTTAAAAACAGCTTTTAGAATGTATTTGGAGCTCTGTAAAACATCATGTAGAACACGGTTCCTCTGGGAAAGGACAGGCCTCTTACGTGTCATAGGAAAAACTTTACAATTGGATATGACTCGAAATGGGGCAGCTCTCCAGTGAGGTGGGACTGCAGCGTGGAGTGCCCGTGGCTGACCACACCTGCTCCTCAAGAACAATGACCTTCTGGGACAGAACATTAGCACATGGACTGCCCCACTAGAAAACAATTGTTTCTCCTTGGGGCTGCAGTGTTTTATTATAAAAATGGAATGGGAAATTTGAAAACAAAATGATCCTTTCTCATTTAATGAAAAAGCTGTTGTTTTTTATTGTTTTTTGGGCATGAGTGGTACGTTTTGATTGACAGTGGAAACACGAGCAGAGGTTCCACCAGCGGGGACAAGCTAAGGGGCTTCTTGCCTACCGGCTGGTTCTGTGTGCCTCATGAGGTCCTGGGTTCTGAACTCGTATGAGTCAAATACAACTCACACGGCACTAATGCGTGAACTCAGGCTGAGAAAGAGCCTATGTGCAGGCCCTGCTCCTTGGCTCCCTGGGACGCACTGACTGTAGTCCCAGTGCATAGCTGTGCACACATATCCCACGGAGAGGCACAGGAGGGGTGCTCGGGAAATTCCTTAGTTAGGTCTGATTTGTTGGCCTTCTCTCTCTCTCTTATGCTCATAAGCCTAAATCACACTTTGTTTTAAAAATTAAAGCAAAGTTAAACAAGTCTGGGGGATATTTGGAGATGTTACTAAAACCTACTGAGGTGAGGAAGATGTGACGTCATTAAACCACCTCTAAGGTTATCCCGTGGAAAACCAGCCTCTGCTAAGTTGGGCTGGAATCTGCAGCTAAATATGACCCAAGAGCTCTTTGAGAAGAAACCGTTTTCAAGTCAAAGTTGTAGAACAGACCTGGCTACGAGAGAACTGAAGCCGCCAATTCTGCTCATGGTAAGAGCGCATGAAAGTGAGTTTCCATAAGTGAAGTTGAAATTGACTCCCCATGTGGTCACAGAAATATAGGCCAGAGATCTCCGTGGGCCACAGGAGACGTGCCAGGAGGCTGCCGATCGGCATGTGTGCATCTTACTTCTCAGAAATGGGGGAGCAGGAAGCCAGACTCTTGGGATGAAAACGTGAGCACAACGGCATCTCGGCTAGAAATTCTAGTACTGGTGACTCGACCAGTGGGGTGTGAGCTCCTGAATAGCACAGTCTGTGAGAGCAGATTACTAGACTCATTTCTTGTTTCAAATTCAATTGTTAGATGGATAGAAAAAGACAGCAAAGTATCCGCAAATCTTCGCAAGACAGCTGACATGGGATCTTACGGCATCTTTGTATGGAAGCTAGAGAAGTGGCCACCGAGAAACAGGAGATGGAGCTGATACTTTTGTGAACAACTCCAGGGAAGTCAAGAGGACAAGCCTCTCATTCACTAAACACACAGGCATGGAAGAACTCATCCACACCAGTCCCCAGAGGGCATGAGGGGTGGGCGTGATGAAAGGTGGGGGTGATCGTTGATCATCACCTGCACTCAGAGTCCTCCGAGAGGTGACAGGACCCTCCGACACTCCACACAGAGCCACAGCTCTGTGGGCCTGGGAAGGCCACTTGCCCTTTCTGACCCTCCCTCCCTCAGCTGGACCAGCAGGTGCACCTCACCTCTCCAGGTAGCAGGGAGGATCACTCCACCACACAGTGTGGCTTCTGCCACCAAGGAAAGCTAGTGGGTAATATGGTTCAGAGAGGGCTGGTTAAAATGTAAAGTGACAGAATTAGGACACCACACATACACTCGCACACTTTTGGAGGCTGCTGAAATTGAAATGTGAAATTATATTAATAAATACGAACTCCAGCATTTATATTTCAAAGCAGTCAACTGCGGGAGCACGGCTTAAGCAAAAACAACAACATAGGGGCCTTGGCAGCCTTCGAGCCCAGGCCTCACCTGGCTACTATGAAGGCCACTGAGAAGCTACCTAGGAGGTTATCAAGTGCACACCCAGGGTCACTACTCTGTCCTGTTTAGACCTTAGCAGGGAAAGTGTGTAAAATTCCGACATCGCACGTAGCTTGATGCAGACACTGACAAAGTGAACCGGGCAGCACAAAGAACGGGGAGAGCAAAGTGGAGAAACCAAACGTGAAGGAACCGGGTCAGTATGGCCTGAAACAACGCCTGGCTTTGTTGGCTTCAAAGAGATGAAGGCTCTCTTGATTTCACAAACCTGAAATCCTTCCTTCCACTGGGAAGACCCAGGATCGAGGAAGGAAAGTTCTGAGATAGTTCAGCTGAGGCCCTGACCAGCCAGGCAGTGGGGGTCTCAAGCACATTCGCCCCAGTACCCTTCAATTCCAGCACTGGTTGGAAGCTGGCAAGAATGAAATTAGTCTCATTTTTCTGCTAATCTATTTAAGCTGGAGAATTCTTTTTGCATTAAATGCTAATTTTAAAAATTTCCTGAGACTCAAAATGTACCCCAAATGAATTCTCTGGTGTACTTAGGGGCATGGGGGCCGCGCACCACGGCCTGTCCCCCGGCACTTACCGCCAGGTACTGCGGGGTCAGTCCGCCCAGACCCGTCAGGTTCCCCCAGGTGGCAGTGTTGAGCTGCTGCATCTGCTGTGCCAGCTGCTGCTGGAGGCGCCTTTGCTCCTTGTCCTTCTGAGTGTCCGCAAACTTCACCACGATAGGTGAAGAGCAGCCCTGTGGTCAGACACATTGGAAAGTGGACAGGGGGTTACAGCTGGGTTGGAGCCCCTCAGGACGCTCAGTCTGTCCTGGGTCTATCTTTCTTAACTACCTTGGCGCACATGGAATGGTCTGAAATGGTTTAAGAACAGTTTGATATTCCTCCTTCTTCTCTGAATAGTACCATTGATAGAGAACGCCAGAGATTGTCACTGGGCTCTCTGGGGGATCTGGTGGTTGGTGAGGCCGTTTGCTTTCTTGCTCTGATTATTAAACTGCCTCGCCTCCTCTCTTGGTGTGTCTTCGACCTTCCAGGACCTCCTCAGAGACAACAGACCACATCAACGTTCTTTAATTAGGCTTCACGGTCCGCTCGTCTTAAAGACGGACTTGTCTTTGTGTGGCCGCCTGTTTCCACAGGTGAGCAGACGACAAAGGGGGAGAAATCGTAATGACAATGAAAATGTCTCTCATTAATTCATTAGTTTTCGCTCTTCCCAGTTCTCAGGTGTATTATTTTTGAACTTTAGAAATCGGGGGAATCACATGTATCCGGCAACAAAAGGGAGCGGCTGGCTTCATTTTAGGAAAAGTGGGTGAGGAAAGAGAGGCTCAGAGGACAGAGGAGCTGACCAAAGGCACCGTCCACGTGCTTTGGGGCGGGTCTCTCTTCTTCCTCCTGCCGTATCTAGTCTACCTGCAGTTGGGGAGCTGCTGAGAACCCCCCAAACCAGAAGCACATTCTCATTACAGGAGACAGACCTTACATGGCAGGAGGAGGACCTACCTGGCTTCTCTCCCTAATTTGAACCTCATCATTCTAGCAGCTTCTCTCAGTTTTAGTTTCCTTGAAAAGGCAAGGAATAGGGTGGCGAGAAATAGGGTGATATAACAGGGTGACTTCATTTCTGTGGTAGATAAAATCGTTTTGGGGGGGGGGTAATGGCCTACATGCCAAGCATGAAGACCTCCTTCCCGAGAACTTCTGAAACAGCTGCCACCTGGCCAGTACGGAGAAGGACCTGCCCTCCCTCCCCCACCTTCCTCCTGAGGTCGGCTCACCTACACGCTGCATCACAGTTAAAGCTGCGAGATGTTTTAGAGGTAAAAAGAAGTAATTCTACCCACGTGATTAAATAAAAACTTCGACAGAAACTTGGCATAATTGACCCCTGTCCCTCTGCTCTCAGAAATGTTATGTTCCTAGTTATAAATGAGCTTTTTCCTTCCGTTCCTTTTGGGTCATTTTTCTTTCTTCTAAAAAACAAACTTAGGTCTTTTTTTCTTATCACCTCGGGTAGTTATTGGGGACGTAAGCTATCTGAGGCTATCGTGTCTGTTAATTAAAAAAAAAGTGAGAAAATAAAGAAGACAGCTTCGGTGCTAAACTTCCAGCCGAGGGGTCTTTGGTCATGGTAGGCAGAGTTGTGGGATAGAACGTTAGGTGCCAGTTAACTGCCTAAAAATATTATTTCCATCATTTAAAAAAGTCTGTAATTCATTTTGCTCTGTGTTTCAGCACTTTGATACTTTAAAGAGCACAAAATACTCTAAAGATGAAAATTATTTAGAGAAGGGTTCTGCATGGAAAAGCGTTATGATTGTTGTGTCAAATTTGTTCCATAATAAATTACAGCATCTCCTCCTAACAGTCCACTTATTGTTTTTTTTTCTTCCTTAAACACTAAAAAAAAAAAAAAAAAAGATATAAAAGCAGGTAATCGGGCTAATGATGATGGTTTTTAAAAGACTTATTTAAACCATGAAAGAGAAAAACGGGCCGGGGAGTGCGTGGAGGGGAGTGGAGAAAAGCAGGCACAATGTGGGGCTGCTGTTAAGACCTTGTTCTTGCATTACATCCTTTTGAATTAGATACATCTTGGTTAAAGATGTACGCCAGAGTCCTGAAAATAATGTAATTTGTTAAAAAAATTAACTTCAGTTGTACGGTTACGTGACTGCGTACTGTATGAACCTTTAAATGTCAATCTTCTTGAAGTAGAGAAGAAATTTCTTGTTTTGAGGGCCCCCTTGTTTAAGCATATCCAGTTTTAAAAATAAGCCACCGAATCTGACTTTCTCGAACAGAGATATTAATACAGGGTCCAGGGTGTCTGAGGACTAAACACGCTCCACTCCTCTAACAGATTCTTCCCACTTGGGGAGCCTGATATTTGCCTGGTTTGAGTTCATGCCCTGTTCTGCTTTTTAGGGTCCTGAACCTCCTTCCATGGCAACCCAGGAGAACAGGGTTCCATCAGCAGACTCGGGGGCTCCGAGGGGAGGGAAGGGGGTGGCGATGTTTCTGACAGTTGAGAGGATTCAGGTTAAAAACTCATCTAAAGGGAGCCCAATTTGGGTACAAATCACTGAATTACAGGCAGTAAGGAGGATAAATACAGGGAAAGACTTGGAATTTTTCTGATAGCATTTTTATCTTTAAACTGGTACGTGGCTGCAAATCGGACTGATCTGTAATAATGGGGCAGCCTAAGTTACGAGAAAGGAAGACTCAGAAGGCCATCACATAGGTCACTGTGTTTACAAGACCAGACTTCCTAGGGCTTTCCAATCCTGCTAACTATTTCCTGGCATGGGCGACTTTCACCTGAGTTTGCCTTCGGGTGTGTGTGTGGGGGGGATGTGAGGGTCTTAAAAATGCACTGAAAGGAAAACACATTGATTATATAAGATATGTTAGGAATATCAAAGTCAAAATGAATGTTCAAAAAGGACAATAGGCTTTGCAATGCTGATATCACAACTCAGAAAAGTACAGTGAACACTTAATGACAAGGCCATGCACACTCCTTCCCCTCCCCCCCGTTTGCACCCACCTTGTGATTCACTATAAAAAAAGTTGCCCACAAAACATGACGCGTAATGATCACTTAGCTCCCCGCATGCTTTGGGAGATGCAGCATTGCAAAAAACAAACAAAAACAAACAAACAAAAAGAAAAATAAAACCCCAACAACATGGGGCTGAGAGAGAAGCTCAATCAATAAAAACGTTTGTTTGTACATAAAATAAAACTGAAAGTTTTTTTTTTTAAAGAAAATATGAAAACGTAGCTTAACACCACAAGGCCACCTCCAGAAAAGATCACCCATACACAGAGATACGGTGTACACATACAGCGGAACATGCTCCCAAGTGATTCTACCAGACAGTACGGAAGAAGTAACGGCATGTCACTCTTGGAAAGCTTTTGTGCAAAATTCTGAAAGGCCATGACCCAAATCACAGACTGAAAGTACAGAGCCATCTATCTCCATGTGTGGGTGTCTACCCACACCCGGGTGTTTATCTTCCCCTAAAGCCACTATCTCTCGTTAGGAGACCAAATTTGAGGCTTTATGTTGCTTTGTTATTGCTCGTATTTTAGCCAGGAGACAGATCTAATTTTGGGGGGTGGTCTCTCATAAAGTAGCATTTCCACTGTTAAAGGAAGTGGGAGAAGCAGTAGCTTTCTCCAGCAGTCTGGATGCAGAAATACAAATCTGTTTGACTAGATTAAAAACAACTTGGCCCCGAGTAACAAGAAGAGCCTTGTGACTTGGAGCGGGGCAAGCAGCAATTTGGGGTGGGGACTGTTACTGCTCCAGCCGCAGCAGGGCTGGGCTGGGGAAGGTACTTGGGCCTTGAGGTCCAGAGTGACACTCTGTTTAAAGAGGCACTGCGACGTTCCACGGCAGGACCTGTGCTGCAGCAAGAGAAGTCTCCAGAAACAACTGCAGAGCACGTGGAAGCTTTGGCTAAATGCATTTCAAGTCATTAGGGGAAAGATGCAGAGAGAAGAGAAGAGAGAGAGAGAGATAGAGAGAAAATGAGAATGAGAATGAATATGAATGAATGAATGAAAAGCGAGATGGTGAAAGTTTAAATCTGTGATTGTCATGGGAACGATCCACACAGGAGAGAATTGCTTTACCATTCCCCATCATTTGCACAAAGAAAACAAAGAAAGGGCAGATGATACAGTACCTCCATGGTCTGAGACTGATGCATGGCTTTGATTGCATTCTGTGCCATTGCCCTTGTAGAAAATGTGACAAACGCACAGCCTGTGGGAAACAAGGGGACAGGGAGCAGGAAAGACAAAAAACAACAAGACAAAAGGGTTGGACGCTTGTTAAACCAACACAGTCTACGAGAACTGCCACAAGACGACACTGTTCTCAGTAGTACATGAAAATAAACAACTTCTCTCCTTGGTTTTTTCTCACTTTGCTTTTTAAATTCACAGTGCTGACTTGCTAATCTGACCAAAGCAGAAAGATTTATTTATTTATTAGTTTAATTTTCTCTCTCTCTCTCTTTTTTTTTTTAACAGAAACTAGGGGAGGAGGTTGGGTACTGTTTTTAGCCACAGGGTTTTGAAATGAGCAAGATCTAGTTTTGCATTTTCTAAAATACAAAGTTGCTATTTTCCATTTTCTCCTTGGCTGGTGATCTTCGCTGAGGGCATCCACACATCAGGGCTTTGTATTTCAAATTTTAGCGTTGATTTTTTTTTTTTTTTTTTTAAAAGAAGCAAATAAGAAAATCCTCACACCAAGGGCAAATTAGCAAATACATTCCAAGAACTCAAAATATCAACAACTAAGTATATTTGCTCCCTTCTGGGTAGTTTAAAATATACATACGTAGAAATGTAAACTGATGCTATTCAAATGCAAACGAATATACTGAAATCTGTATACTAAACGCTGTTTAGTAACTACTAATTATTAGCAAAAACAAATGCTCCATTACTCTGAGAATATTCAACACTGCATGTATAGTAAACTTTAAAAATGTGCATTAGAATTTTTATGTGCATAAAAATCTTTCTGATTTCTGAAGGCTGTGGATTTTTGAAATGGGGCAGAGCTCTGACCTCATGTCTAATAAGCACAAGCCATCCGGGCCTTTGAATGTCTACCTGAGGCCTGTGTAACTTTCAGGCTATTTCTCCTGGTGCTGCAGAGTGACTAGACTCTACATGGCCTGTTCCTGGTTCTTGTACCAGCTCTGGCCACCGTGCAGGTCACCGCTCCAACTACATGGCTCACTGCCCTTTTCACTAATAAAAACACTGCCTTCTCGAATTTACATTTTATTCATCATGCACCCTTGGGCTTCTTAGCGAAAAAGACTGTGAAATTAATGCAGATTCAGGCTGATTTTGTAATAATACCACAGCACACTAAAAGCTTAGCTAAAGCAACACAGACTTATTTCACTTATGATCTCTAATGACTTCAAAAGTGCATTGATTTTCAGCTTCTTTAGGCTTGCACAGTATGAACTTAGGTATCAGAGGATAATTTAGTGTTCCACTCAATTTCCTCAAAACATTATTATTATTACTACTTAAAAGATTTCCAAATGAAGCAGATCTAAACACCGAGAGGGGCTCAAGCCTATTGTCATTGCAGAGAGGCTGCAAGAAAGGGAATTCTGGCCAACCGTACAGGGCTGCTGCCCCTGTGGCCCGTAAGCAAAATAGAACATTCTACATTCAAACAACCAGCAGATTGTCTGGTTTACGTAAATCAATTTGTGAGCCATGAAATACATTTTCCCTTCTTTCGCTCTACGTGTGCACCTGGTGAGATTATCAAGCCAGTCTGGTCGTGGCACCTTTTAATCCAACAGCAGTAGGAGAGAGTGACGCCTGCCCCTCACCCCCAAGCACAACGACTCCCCATTCATGAAAATAAGTCAGTGCATTTTGTTTTTGCATCGTGCTATAATTTTTAATATGCAGAAACTCTCAGTACATGGGAAATTCATCTCAGATTCACCTCCTGGGTAAGCTGGCCGCAAGAGGCCTAAATGAAGTCCGGCTTCCATACGGTTCTCTGTCAGCACGGCAGCCGAGGAAGCTTGCACACTACCTGTACCTAGACTGACTGCAGCTTTTGTCATCAATAAATGCAACTCTGTGGCCTTCTCTCAGGCATCCAGACCATGTGTGTAATAGAGTGTGAGACAGAAGACAGTGCCTCTACTGGCTTCCACACTGATGCTGAGCTCTAAAAGGATGGCAGTCCAAATTTACCATCTGCTTCCAAGTAACATCGCTTCAGAAGCATTACGATCATCACCGACATTATGAAGAAATAATGCTACGAGATTTTAATTTTTCTACTTCTTATCTTGAAACTCCAATGGAGGAAAAAGCTTGGAAGCCACGTGAAGCCTAGACTAATTCTGCTTTCAACACTCAAGAAGATTGTGATATTCATTTCATTTGCTATTACTATTCAGGAACATGTGCCAAACTGACAATCTCCAAATGGAAGTTAAAAAGGGATAAAAAAACATTTGAAATGTCACCAAGAATCAATAAGGCACAGTTTATGCATTTACCACAATTTCATATAAGCAGGACCTTTCTCAGTAACTTAGCGAGGAAAAATATAGCAATTAACAGGTCTCAGAAGAGAAGTGTTAGCAACAGAACAATGAAATTCTATTTCTATAAACCCAAACCATTGCCCTTTCCTCTATGAAACTTGCAATTAAAGACTTAACTGATGCTTCTAATTATACTATAGTCTTACCCCATCCAAAAAACTAATCTGACAAATGTGATGCCTTCTTGAACCTTTTAATTCTGTTGGCAGTCGTGCAGGGACAGAGAAGCTGTCCCCTTGGGGGCTTCGTCAACTTCTGTACCGTGTGATGTGTTCAATTACTTAAGAGAAAAAAATTACTGTGTCATTTATAAAGTGGGAGTGCATGCTGAAAAATGTCACTCTGGATGAAGGTAAATGACTTCAGAACCCAGTGTTTCTTGGAATGGTAGCTTGTTAATCTTTGTGATTTTTCTAAAACAGGAGAAAATCCTATAGATAGATGTTAATATTCTTTTTAACACTACCGAAAACATACTGGTGGCCTTAGGATAGGGCCTCCAAACCTGTAGCTTTTTACCAACACAGGATCATATAAGCCCCTACCACTGAGATGGGCTGCTGGCTTTTTCTCTCGAGCCAATGAGAAGGCTGTCTATTGGACAACAATAATTTCGGTCATAGGTGTCTCTGTCTCCTACTAAAAAGGAGCTTCTGGGTGCAGTGGAGTTCACTGGGTCTTGAAAAGGCAGTGGCCCTGACCTTGTAGCATCAGCTCTCAGCTATTCCAGACAGTCTCAGCAATTGGTTTTCTGGCTACTGACCAAAATGTTGGAGAAACTAGGCTAGGAGAAAAAAGATCCGGGTATCAAAATAATAAAGATGCACTTCTTTTTTGGTAGGAAGGGGGTTTAGGCAAGACACCATGTATTACTGTCTCGAAACCTCCAAATATGTGAAATAGCCAAAAAAAAAAAAAAAAAAATCCATTTGTAAATGTGGCCAAACTGTAATCTACCTTTGCAATTATTACTGTCTCTGCTTTCAGGACGTCAGATTGCTAATACACATGGAAGGCGCTGGATTCCTCTTACTTCGGTGAGGCTGCCTTCTTGCTGCTAAAACAGATACATGATTGACTGGGGGAAAGTTTCTCAAAGTAATTTCCTCTTACAGACAAGATCTAAGGAAAGCAAGGAGCCCTGTCACAGGGAAGATTTTGGAACACGTCTATTATTCTTGTCATTTCAACTGAAAGGACAGCTTAACTTAGGCGCTCTGCCTTTTGACTCAGATGCAAGAGTTTCGAGAGAACAAGATGGATTCTTGCCCTGCGCCCTCTCCCCACCCCCAAAGGAAAAGTAAAGGCACTTTTAACAGTCTGAACAACGCCAGGGCCTCTTGCTTCTCTGCTACTTCTTTGAAAGATGTGCAGAATGGTGCTATATTTCAAATGAAAGCAGCACAACTTAAAATGACCGGGCGCTGCGTGATGGGGAGTTTGACCTATGGAAAACTTGTTTATAAATTCCTAGTTAGCCAAAGAGAGATCTTAATGCAGCCGATTTTCCTTGCTGTATCTTCTTAGCAGCGGCAGGATTTATTAAACATATGCTATCAGTAGAATATGGGGGCATAAAAATTAATACCCTCATGCACCATCCTTGATGCATGAGGCTATTTGTTTAAAATTAGCATGGAAGCATCATTCCCTTATGGCATCTGAGGCTGGGTACTGATTAGGACCTACTTAATAGTTTGGCAAAAATCTCATTCCTGAGATGAGGCTGGAAGATTGTACTGGGGACAAGATGGCAGAAACACAGCCAGCCATCCGGGGAGCATGGGATGAGTTTCTGTATATCTGAATGTTTAGCTCCTTTGGAGGCAGGGCTAAAATGTGATCAAAACGAAGTCCTCTCTGTGAACACATTTTAATAGTTGAAAGCCTAACCCGCAAATCCTGATCAGATATGACAAAAACAAATGAAGATTTAATAGCTAAATCCAGTCTGTGCTCTCCAAAATCCCTGAAAATATTGCCAATTCATATGTCAGGGGTTCTGGCCGGGGGGAATGCTGGAACACCATAAACACAGCTGGAATATTCTTAAACAAGCAGCAAATTTCCTTAAATGGCAGTAAAGATCTGACTCCAGTTTGTGGGAAAGAAAAATGAAATAAACTCCTTCACTGTCTCCAGGCCACAGACCCACAGCAGCCTTTGTGCAGGAGAGCCCTGTCAACTGTACCTAAAAAGCCTGTTTTGATGGTGGGGTTACAGCAAGGTGAGAATGCGTGTGTTTCAGGAAATCAACATGCTCAGTGACATGGTCAAACAGGCACATTTGGCCCAGAAGCCTTGAGATCTGCTTTTGAGAGCCAACACTGCCTCTGAAGTGCCGTGCGCGGCTCAGGCCCGAGAGGCTGGGCTGCTGCTGCCCGACACTCCAGTGTCCTGCAGTTGCCTGAAAGCATCTCGAACTGCGTTTTCCAAACTAGAAAAGATGGCAGAGTGAGTTACCGGCCCCAAAGAGGGAAAAGCACACTTTGATGAGCACGTGCTCAGTGAGGGGAAGCACACTGCCGCTGCGGGAACAGCTCAGGGGCCCGGCAGGTGCTAGGTGCCTTCCACGGAGAGAATCAGGACAATTTCTGGAGGGTGTCTGTCCTGGGACCTGGGCTGGTGCTGTGAGTAATGTAGGATGTAAAAATACTTTTGCTTGTGAATGACTTTCATGACTTTTCAAAGACAATGATTCTAACTGAAAGAGGAGCGAGGCCTGATGGGCACAGCTGTGGGCCCTGCCAGCCCTGGCAATGCACCTCTGATGGGGTACTGGGGCCAAGGAGCCTGCACAAGCCTCAGCATCATGCCATCCAGGGGGGAACTAATACTACTAATGTGGCAGAGAGGAAGTGACAATGGAACCTGCGAGGAGCCAGCTAACTAACTGCCTCCTTTTTTTTCTTTCTTTTTTGGAAACAGAGTCTCACTCAGTCACCTTGGGGTTGAGTGCCCTGGCATCATAGCTCACAGCAACTTCAAACTCTTAGGGCTCCAGTGATTTTCTTGCCTCAGCCTCCCTGGTAGCTGGGACTACAGGCGCCCAGCACAACGCCCGGCAATTTTTCAGAGATGGGGACTTGCTTTGGCTTAGGCTGGTCTCAAACTCCTGAGCTCAGGCAGTCCATCCACCTTGGCCTCCCAGAGTGCTGGGATGACAGGCGTTAGCCACTGCACTTGGCCACCCACCCCCCTGCCTTTTTTATTGTTGTTGTTGAGATAGAGTTTTACTGTCTCCCAGGCTAGAGTACTGTGGCATCATAGTTCTCAACAATCCCAAACTCCTGGGGTCAAGTGATCCGCTTGTCTCAGTATCCTGAGTCTGAGACTACAGGCACCTGCCATAATGCCCAGCTAGTTTTTCTATTTTTAGTAGAGATGGGGTCTCGCTCTTGCTGAGGCTAGTCTTGAACTCCTGAGCTCAAGCAATCCACCTGCCTCTGCCTCCCAGAGTGCTAGGACTACAGGCCTGAGCCACTGCACCCACCCAGCTGCCTCCTTTGTCTTCATGCTTACAGGTGAATTGGGCTAAGACAGAACAGCGAACCACCCAACTACCCCTCTCCCTCAAGATCACAGGCTCTGATTTTAAAACTTTCTTACTGAACAATTCATACCCTGATTTTGTATTAGAAGGCACTGTTCAGAGCACCCAGCTTTTGTTTCACTTAATTTTTATTTATTTTTTTAAATGCTGAGCCAGCAACAGCCATTCAGAACAGAACTCCTGAAATCCCCTTATCTGAAGTGCCACTAATGGGAGATATTTATTAATATTTGATTGAAAACTGTAATTCTTTAATAAAAGCAAAATAGTAGCATAAAAGAGAATTGTTCTTCTAAGGAATGCACTGATTCAAGAGCAGGCCCTGTAGCCAGGAGTCCCTGGGTCCTGCTAATTGGAAAACGTCCCACTCTCTGTCTTTATGTTTCAGAACAAATGGTTATAAATGAGTATTTTCTTTTTTGCAACAGGGAATTCTCATCAGTTCACCAGAAATTACTTTTCTGCTAGAAAAAAAGTGGAGAGGGAGGAATATTCTCCTTTCCACACTGAGCCAACATTTGCATAAAATACTGAGGAAGGGGCTGCCGTGACTTGTTTCCGGAATGGGCTGCTTCTGGTGTCAAGTGTGGTTAATCGACTAAACGGCAGATCAAGTCAGCCAAGTTTTCTCTGTAAGCACCAGGTGTGAGCTTGCTCTTGACCGTGAAAGTTCAGGCTGCTGGACAATCTGATCTGCAGAAATAACCAGGTGTGCTCAAGGAGCCCTGGGCGCTGCAGGCTGCACTGGTGGGCATTACTATCCCCACCAGACAGGTGGAGAAAGTGAGGTGGAGAGCCACGTCATAAACCAGCCAGCCAGGCCACACAGAGGCTGAGGCTGAGGCCGGGGGAGTATTCGAATCTGGTGCTCCTGGGCCCTGCACAACCCATGCAGGCCTGCTCAGGTGGGCGTTACCACCACTTTGGTAACTGGCGATTCCCTACGGGATAAACAGGGCGGGTGTCTTTCCTGCTGTAATTTACAAATGGGGAAACTGAGGGCTAGAGGTAGGAAGATGGAAGGACTCAGGTTGGCGAGGTTACGTTTCAGTGCAATAGAGGTTCTGGGAGAGGAACCTGGGGTCACTGACCTCTAAGCCCTTGTACGTTTCACTATGATTAACTAACCCAAGGGCTTCCCTTCATCCTTCTCCAGGCCGTACCTGGGGAATGAAAAACGCAGTGTGACTGAGAACAGCAGCAGAAGACAATGGGGATTCTAATTACAAAATGGGCAGCAGAAGAGGGATCACAAAGGTGTCATCCCGTCTTTGAACCTGTCCTGCTCTACATGTAGCCTCCCTGCCTTCCCCCGGAGCGTCTCTCTCCTGGCTGGTCTTCCTGAGCAGGCATCAGTGAATCACAGCTGCAGGAGTGACCAGAAGCTCTCCTGGCTGAACTGTGAAGACACAGCCCTAACTAGTGAGGCTGTATGGGAGCCAGAGGCTGTGCAGGCCATCAGGACGCTGAGCTGCCACCCTGGGCCCTGCATCTGCTACTTAGAGACCTTGCTCAGTATCCCACCTCCTTCAGCATTTAGAGAATCACATCTATTAAGTGAGTGTTACATAAGAATTTTGGAATTGTCAGAGAACACACAAGCTGTGATTTTGATGCCCCCCGCCCCCCTTTAAAACTGTCTTCAGAAGAAAATGCAGGAACCAAAGCTTGGAACTGTCACACCACCTCCCGTTCCCTCTACACTGCCTCCGCCTCGGGGCTCCGGAGGTGGCTGTAGGTGGAACTTTTGTTCTCCGGGCCTTCCATTCTAACAGCTGACATTATGAATCTCTGCCTCTAAAAATCAAAAGAACAAATATTCTTCCTCACGTGGTGCTGAGAGTAGGTGAAACCAGTGAGATGGGTGACAATTAGCAATTTGCTATCTATGTCTCAATCCTTCAACACGTGGCTCAGGGTGCCAGGGTTGGCCCAGAACCCGAGACTGAGAATGAAACTAAGTTTCTAAGTAGTCCTGTGGAAACTGCACTCAGAACTGTAGTAATAACAGAATGAAATCTCCATGTTGCAAAAATACGTATTTCTTGTAGGAACTGAAAAATGTTTTGCACAGGGAACTGCAGTCAGGCCCTGCTGACACTCAGTGAGGGGCACTGTCAGTGGGGCAGGCAAACAGAACAGAAAACAGTACAGCTGCTTGCAAAAACACCGGTTTTCATCAGGCTCTGAGTGCAGCTTTTGCTTGTGTCATGGTGGCAAAAAAGAGCCTACTGCCTTTTTCAGGATGAAGTTGTTTTCTGTCGCCTAAAGAAATCCCTGGACTTGGGGCACGAGGAGTTTCACTCTTCAAAATAGAACTTGAACACCCCAAGACGGGCCCCACTGTTGTGGGTCCCTACCTGCTTTGCAGTGATGTGAACCTGGACGCTTTCCTCTTGGTTTCTACCACTGCTAAGAGGACCAGACTCCTAACACTTCTTTCAGGCATGGGCAGAAAGCCAGAAGACTAAGACAAAAACAACAAATATCCTTTCTCATCTTCCAAATCTCCTCCTTGCCCCCCAAGATGGGCTTTGACTGGAGATGAAAGGGGTGTGTATGGTAGGGCTGCCTGTCTGCTTTCCACCTGACACTGACAACCTGAGTTAAAAAGTTGGCACCAAGCCCTTCTCAACGTGATCATTTCAGCTACGGTGAAAAGTTCAAGTTGGAGAACTATCACAGGGGACACGCTGTAGGGTGACCTCTTGCTGTGAGCGGTGCCTACGTCTACCTTGACTATGACACACAGTTCCAATTACACTGCAGCGAAGAGGCTTCGGGACGGCACACTCACCTCGACTCAGCCCGTCGGGTCCACGGAGGATCCTGCATTCTTCTATCTGGCCGAACGCAGAGAACATCACCCTGATGTCATTCTCGTTACACTTCTTCGAAACCATTCCTATGAACAATTTCCTGTCTTCCACAGCTAGGAGATAAAAATAATGAATGAGCAGAGGCCATTTTGTCATTTTTCTTGTGGTCAATGCTTCATCACCCTATCCAAATAGGCTGCAGCCCTGTGACACTGAACGTGAGTCCCTGGGCTGCCTCTGCAACCCCCGCCCGCCCTCCTCCTTCCATGCGCCCGGCACCCCTCTCCCTCCCACCCTGCCCTTCCTAAACATTTTGAATCTTTGTGCTCTTGTTCTCACTAATAAACCATCTAAATAGGGCACAGAAACCAACAGTGGTTTCCCATTCAAAAACGAACAGCAACGTGTTTACTACAGTTTTAAAGTACTTTTGTAACTGCTAACCGCGACTGCACCATAGACTTTAATGGACATAGATTTTGATTTTGGCGTTTTGTAGATGTTCTTTTAACTCAAGTGACAGCAAAGAGAAAGGTGAAGAGAGGAACAATGACAGGAGGGGAAGGGGTAAATCGCATCAAGGCACTCCAGGAAAGAAAACCCTTTTCCAAATCAGCTGCATCTCCACTGACTGAGCTAAAGGAGAGACTGGGGTGATTCTGATTTCCCGGGACAGCCAGAGAAGCACTTTCTTCCCATGGCATGAACTTCACAGTTGACCAGCTGACCAGCCAGTCCTGGAAAGGGGAGTGGGGCTGCTGTCCTCTGAGCGGTACCTCTGACTGCCCCATGCCCACCCTGCAATTCACAGCAGAACCAGTGGGAATCAGGATTTCTGCTGAACACACATGTATTTTGGGTGTCACGACCATATGAAAACTTGAGCCTTGGAACCTGACAGTGAAAGAGAAGGCCGGTTTTACCTCAGAAGACCTGGGAGATGTTCCTCAAAATCTCCACATTCCTGCTCAAGATATGTGACCTAAATTTGGCCTAAAAGGCAAGGTTAAAACTGATTTGGAGACAATGTTTAAAGCCTTTTTTAGGAAAGATGTCTTTTCCCAGGATATCATAGTCGCCCCTAGGGAGAAGTCCTGCTTATTTTCCACCATTTCATTTCAACCCATTTCTGAGATGAAAACCAGAAATGGCACAGCGTCCTGCCTGGGGAAGGGCCCTGTCTCCAGTCACCAGTGTATAAGCCTCTGTTTCACACCTGCGTTATACTCTTGTCATTGCTAATTAATAGGCTTTTATTTCTGTTTCCTTTATATGCCCACCTTGGGCAGTAAATGTCTCATCTTCATTTAATCAGCAAGCTTCTGGAGGCTGAGTTCGAATGCATGGTCTGTGCCTTGCAGCAGGTGGCAGCTCAGCTGACGAGGAAACATCACCTACGTCCATGCTGTCCACACAGAAGCTGAAGCCACCTGTGGCTGCTGAGCTGTTAACAGGGGTTTGGTGTGATTGAAGAAGTGATTTTTAAAATACAGTTTTAATTTAGAAAGCCACATGTTGGCATGAAGGGCCTGAAAGTGATGGCTAAAAGCTCCTTCTCCTAGAATCCCAGACCGGAAGAGACACGAGGGATGTTCTGTCTTTAAAATAGTTCCAGATCCCACAGGGACAGGACTGCCTCGGCACCTTCAGCCTGGACCTTCCCCACGTTCTTCTCCAAGGTCAGAGAAGGAGATGACACTTCCGGGGGGAAGTGATAGCCGTGACCAGCTGCCCGTAGAGCAGTGGCTCTCAAACTTCCTAATGCTGCGACCCTCATGTTGTGGTGCCCCCCAACCATAAAATTCTTTTCTTTTTTTTTTTTTTTTCTGAGATGGAGCCTCAAGCTATTCCCCTGGGTAGAGTGCCATGGCATCATGCTCACAGCAACCTCCAACTCCTGGGCTCAAGCGAGTCTCCTGCCTCAGCCTCCCAAGTAGCTGGGACCACAGGCGCCCGCCACAACACCTGGCCATTTTTTGGTTGCAGCCGTCATTGTTGTTTGGCGGGCCCGGGCTGGGGATTCGAACCTGCCACCTTAGGTGTATGTGGCTGGCGCCTTAGCCGCTTGAGCCACAGGCGCCAAACCCATAAAATTATTTTCATTGCTACTCCATAACTGCAATTTTGCTACTGTTATGAATTGTAATGTAAATACTGGATATGCAGGATGTATTAGGCGGACCCTGTGAAAGGGTCGTTTGACCCCCTAACCCCCTAACTGCTGCCTTAGAGAAGCAACCAGTTAGCTGACCTCTGAGGACCTCAGTTTTGTCTTCCATGAAATGAAGTTTTCAACATTATTCTGTTTCCTGGCAATGAAGGGGCTGCCCGGTGCACCTGGGGTGGGGTGTGGGAGAGGTGTGTGGAATCCCCTGCAGTCAGCTGCGCTCCACACTTGGGATGGCTCCTGAGATGAGTTGAGAAATTTAAGGGCTCCAAAGAACACAGGCTGGAGACCACAATGCCACATACTTGTAAACTGTGACTTGTGCACTTGAGCAAGGCCTGATGTAAACTGTGGAATTCGAGCTGGACCAGGCAGGACGTGGAGGGACTGGAGGTGTGTGGAGTCAGGGACACGTGGGGACTGTGTTTGCGCGTGAGGGAGAGTGACTTCAGGGCACCACGCCCTGTATTCTGCTTCTCCTGTAGGTCAGGAGCTCACATGTGAGGACAGCAGTGGCCATGGCTTATGCTGGGACACAAAGTAGACATGGCCATAGGCATCATGGGCTCTGATTCCAGGGAGGGACAGAGCTGAGGACCGGACCTCCTGTAGGTGGATCAAGAATTTCCACCTGAAGTTCCTTCTCCTCCCCTCAGAATATGTCAAGTACCACTAGTCGGCTGTGACCTGGAGAAAGCCTGGCAAGTCACTGCCCTGCAGACACCTGCAGGCTCTCTGAGGGGCCTGCACTCCCCAGCCAGGGGTGATTCTGGATGGGCGTGGCCCAGGAGGCACAGTACTAATCCTGGGAAAGGAAGGGATGGGACTGAGGGGGGAAAGTTCTAGATTCGTCCTTCCCTCTCACCTCTGCTACTCCTACCCCCAGCAAACTGTGCCTGGCCTCTTGGTGAGCGTAAAAGCTCGGCTGCACGTCTTCTTACCCTGAAGAATCTGGTTCTAATGCTTTTAAACAACAACAAAAAATTCCCAGTTGGTCCTCGGTTTCACTAGTAAACCTGTAATTACGATATTTAGCTAAAACAATTTACAGGTTTTGAGCTTCAGGAGAGACGCCATAGGAAATTAAACACGCAACTCCTGAGGAAGCTCAAACATGATTCCTTCCTAAGATGAGTATTAAGAAAATGGAACCGCCCATTAAGAATCCTGACTTCCCAGCCACTGCTCCGAGTAAGCTCAGCAAGGCAACAGTAACTCTCACTTTTTATTTAAAAAAAAAAAATTTTTTTTTTTTTAGATAGAGTCTCACTATGTCGTCCTTGGTAGAGTGCTGTGAAGTCACAGCTCACAGCAGCCTCAAACTCTTGGGCTTAAGTGATTCTCTTGCCTCAGCCTCCCAAGTAGCTGGGACTACAGGTGCCCGCCACAACGCCCGGCTATTTTTTTTTTGTTGTTGTTGTTGCTGTTGAAGTTTTCATTGTTGTTTAGCTGGTCCAGGCCGGGTTCAAACCCACCAGCCTTGGTGCATGTGGCTGGTGCCATAACCACTGTGCTACAGGCACCAAGCCAACTCTCACTTTTTAAAGTAACAAGTATTGGCTAAGAAAAAAAAAAAGGAGATGGAGCCATCCACCTGCTCCTCAGGACGCTCACTTCTTCCTCTGTGTGCGCAGGGGTGGGTGGCACTCGGAGGCTCGAGGAAGGGACACGACAGCATTTCACCCGCAGGGCTGCTCTGTCTCTGCTTCAGGGGCAGAGCGCAGATGATTCAACATATCCAGCTCTCCTCTCGAGTTTTCTTGATTTTCCAGTGAAAATTTATTCATCAACTTTATTCCCAAGATTCCCATTCTAAGGATCCCTGACAGCTTTGTAAATGTCCTAAATAAACATAGTTATCGTGAATTTACTTAACTTTTTCATCAATTTTTGATGACTTTCTTGGTGAGTTTTTCCTAAGTATTTACAGGCACTAAGTATCTCACTTATTTTTCCCTTCTCCTTCTTTCTTTTTAAAATAGAGACAGGGTCTTGTTCTGTGTTCCAGGCTAGACTACAGTAGGGCAATCACAGAGCACTACAGCCTTGAGCTCATGGCCTCAAATCAGCCTCTTATCTCAGCCTCCCAAGTAGCTAGGACTACAGGTGCCACCACACCCCATTCTTTTTTTTTTTTTTTCTTTTTTCTTGCTAGATTTTGGACAGGGCTGAATCTGCCACCTCTGGCATATGGGGCTGGCACCCTATTGAGCCATAGGTGCCACCCCTACCCCATTAATTTTTAATTTTTTTTTGTATGGATGGGGTCTTGCTATGTTGGCCAGGCAGGTCTCAAGTGATCCTTTCACTTCAGCCTCCCAAAGTGCTGGGATGAGAGGTGTGAAACATCATGCCTGCCTCTCACTTATTTTTTTTTTAATCTATAAGAATGTCAATTACTTAAATGAACCTACTATGTTTATAATACTCTGTTGGTACTTTAGAGGTGTTAAAAAATAATTAAAAGGTAAGGTCCTTGCCCTGTAGGAGGAAGAGTGATTTCCTCTAGGATAGCCAATGAGCCAGTCAATGTGGGGAAATACTTTACATTTATGGACCAACTGCTGCACAGATTGGGTCCCCTCCATGGGAATGACAACAGACATGAAAGGGGCTTCTATGCTGGTGGTCATTCCAAGTTCTCCTTCCATAATGAGAAAGGGTTAATATTTTAAGTACAAGGGGTGACTTTTTTAAGTTAGGGGAATAGAAACTTCATTTTTAAGAAAGCCCTAATTGTAAGTCTGTGCTAACACCCGGGTGTACAATCTGTCAAAGTCACACCTGGATTTGGGGCTGCCTGAATTAATTAACAACTTTTCAATGTGTTAGTGCTAACATATGGCATTTAATTACTGCCTCCAAATCTGTGAGTCTCTCCACTTTGAATTTCAAAATTATTTCTTCATCTTCCAGCAAATCAGAAAGTGACTGGCTGGAAATACCCCGTGATTCCTATTTTTATGGTGGCTTTGCAGGCCTTCACCCTCCCCTGGTGATACTTAGTTACCTTGACTCCCGCTAGCTCTGAACTTGACACAGGGACACTGGAGGCCTTGAGAAAGAGAGACAGCAGCTTAAGTGGCATTGCTGGATTTTTAGCAAACTGTGAGGTTGGAGGGTTAAGGCAGGACGGATCAATGCTCTGTCCACAGAGTAAGAACAATCCTCACAACAAGAAGCGTAAGAGAAAGCACTGGCTCCAACCACTGTCACCCTTGAGTGGAACCACTTGCTGCCAACTCTGAGCCTCTCTGATCGCTGCTAGACTAACTTCAGCAACTGTTTCTAATTTTCAGTCTTATATAACTGGTACCTTTCTCTGCATAGCAAGAGAGAATTAAAAGCTGGATGGTACATACAAAATTAAATAGAATAACAATGTTTGGGCTAGTTTATACTGGTGCAAACCTCCTCAAATGCACCCCCCCCATCATTCAACTTTCTGCAATGGAGAAATAACAGACAAGCTGGACTCTGCTGAAAGCCAGGTATTTATTCCGTGGCTCTTTTTAACAGCTTAGGGATTTTTTTTTCTTTTGGACACTTGGCATAGCAGGAGCTTGTAGACAGAAAATAAAGTACTACATGTTTGCATAGATATGCTAGAGGCTGCAGCTCAAACCAGGGCCGACTGAGAGGGCAGGCCACAGGCGCCCGGGGGCTTAGGAAGTCTGTTCAGGAAAACCCCACAGTGCAGGGCTGATCGGAGAGCCATCTAACGTTTCTGGGCTCGACACCGAGGCACGATTTATCAGAATCTCTAGATGAAGAAGGCTTCCAAGGGTGATTGCTTTTATGCAATTCATTTGTCCGTCACTAATTAATCTGTGATTAGCAGCCTTTTTCTTGCTCAGCAAATACAAAATTTCAGCAATCTGAACACACTGATAATGAAGACGGTAACTGTCTAACTGTGACGAGTCCTTTGTGCTATCCATAAATGTCAGTAAACTCAATAAAAGTGCAATTAGAGCTCGTTATCCTTCTTTCACAACTATGGGAGCTATTTAGAGCATCCGAGTCACAGAAATCTTTGTGCTCTCGGAGCTTTTGAAACTATGCTTACCTGTCAAAAATGCCATGTGAAATCAGACAAGGCGTGCAGCTTTTATCACTTGTTTAGGAAAATTATATATTTCTCCTGATTCCTCCATCAGGTTCAAAGAGAACCTTAAAATCTCTCTGTGTCTATGCAAGGTGAGGCTCCATTCCACCTGCCGTAAAAGAGCCCTTTAAAAGTCGCTTTGGGTCCATTTGTACTTTTTGACTTTTCTTACTGGAAATTTAGAAAATGACCGTGTAATCTACAAAGCAAAGAGAGAACTGGGCCGAGTAGAGGTGTGGGGGTTTCACTGTCTATACGGATCTGAGCTTTGGTATGAAGCCCAAGCAGGGCCAAGCCTGCCCCTACCCCTCACAACTCTGAAACGGCCGTCTCAGCGAGCAGAATTACGCTGCTGACTTAGCATAACTTAGTATACTGCATGTTTACCATGCTCCAGGTGTTATGCTAAGCTCTTTACTGCCATGAACTTACATAACCCTCAAACAACCTTACAAAAAGAGTTCAGACCACACTTTTGTAGTCCTTCTTATAGTCGAAGACAGTGAGGCTGAGTGAGATTCAGTAACTTGCCCAAGGACACAACTAAAAAGTACAGAGTCAGGGGTCAAATCCAGGCTTCTCAAGACAGTTCGTAACTGCTACGCATGCTACTTCTTAAAAAGAGTTTATTTAGGTACTTTCTCATCCTAGTAATGACGGTGCCCAATCTCCTTGGTTTGGAGATCATGCAAGATTGGGTGTGCCCATGACCACTGTATTGTGTTGCTGTGGTTCTAGACCCAGAGCAAACTCTATCCTCAGCATCCAGAGCAGACTCTGGGCAGAAAGCAACAGAGTACTCTGACCACTCCTGGCAGCTGGCCTATGGAAGGCGTTCTGAGTCAGAGGGCATTCCTACACTGCAGACAACACACACACACACAAAATCCCTTCCTGTTCCAGCTGCTGGGGTATTTGGGGGTTGCCTGCTTTCCACTCAGTTTTCTAACTTGCCTTGTTTTTGTATCTACACAACCTTAGGTTCAGAAATGAGATGGAGCCTTTTCCCCAAACTTGAATTCTATGGTCCTTGCCCTGACATGCTTTAAAGAATTATGGAGCCACAGGTCAGGCAGTACCTCTTGGTGACCAGAAAGCCCAGGATGACCTGTCTTGACAGGATTCACCCCACAGGTACAAAATTATCTCTCCTCTCTCCCAGGGAGGGACCCAATAGACCACAAGAATGGGACTCCTGAGCCAAAGGGTTCAAGCAATCAGTACGGATATTGGCCTGGCCTTCCATGCAGGCAGCACGCTCAGCAAAGGGCCCCAAAGAGCCAGGTGACAATCTCTGCAAGATGCTGGCACTCAGTGTTTTATGGACATGATCTATGGTTACACAGACTCCTCACAAACATCTCATTTGAATATTGGGAAGAAAAAGCCAATCTACAGGAGAGAGTTATCATTAATCTCATTTTAAGAAAAAGGAAATTGAAGTTCAGAGTTTCATTGAGCTCTTGATAGACTGAGCATAAATTTCGTAAGGTCAGAGATGTGGCCTCCTGTAATGTTTTCTCTTCTTCCTTTTTCTATTCATTGCTGCAGCCCCGGCCCCTGGCAGGAGAGCAGTGACTTGGTCATGGTCCCACAACAAAGTAGCAGCAGATTTTAGAGCTTTGGACACTAAAGGCCGTGTTGGGGATCAAGCAATATAGACAAAAGGGAATTAACCCCAAGAAACATATAAGCCTGAGGAGAAGACAGTGGTTAAAGCGCCAAAAGTCTACTCCTAGAGAGAGCAAATCTTTTTAAGACTGTACTTATGTATATACAGATGGCATCCTGCTATGTCACCCAGGCTGGGCTTGAGCTGCCCTCCTGGTTCATGAGTTTGTGGCACCTCAGCCTCCAGAGTAGCTGGGACTACAGGTGCACACCACTCTGCCGGGCTGAGAGACGGAAGCTCTGACTAACCCAGTGCTGGCAGCACCAGGCTATCACTTGGAATTTTCTTCAAAACTTCCTAGTCTGTGGAGAAGCCAGAAAATGGAAGGCACTACAATTAGCAAAAAAAAAAAAAAAAAAAAAAATACCTTGTGGAGAGATTTAGAGCCCAATCATAATTTACATTTGCAGATACAGAGATCTCTAAGTGCATGGCTTCTGCCCTGATTACTAATTAATGAGGTGCAAAACTGTCTGTTAGAAGGAAACAGTGCTGATTATGTCAGTCTTGGGGGACAGAGCGGCTCTCCGGTCTGAGAAGGCAGACGATTCTCTTAACATACATTTCAGTAAATTAAAAGAACAAAACAGGGACAGAAGGCTTGCAGAAATGGAGGCAAAAACTTAAAGAGAGAAACGTGCCTATCAGCTCTCTCGTGTTTTCAAGAGGCAAACCCCAATTATTTCACGGACCTCATCAAATGCATATTTTCACACCAAGTGTATGTTTATTCAATGAGCAGGCTGAACTCTGAGTGAATTCTGATGCGAATGCCTCAGCACAATTCAGAGGAGAGTGTAGCGGGAGTCACCAAGTCAAAGAGGAACAAACAGAAAGGCAAAAAAAAGGGGGGGGGGAGGGGAGAAGAAAAACAAAGCAAGCCGAACTCTTCAGAGGCACTTCCTTTCTGGCTGTGTCCCCTCCCCATCAGGTACCCCCATGCTGGCCACAGGGTCACCACGCGGGGCAACCATAACCAGAGGGACTGGGAACCATCCACAGGTCTTTTTTTTTTTTTTTTTTGAGACAGAGCCTCAAGCTGTCCCCCTGGGTAGAGTGCCGTGGCATTACAGCTCACAGCAACCTCCAACTACTGGGCTCAAGCGAGTCTCCTGCCTCCGCCTCCCAAGTAGCTGGGACTACAGGTGCCCGCCACAACGCCCGGCTATTTTTTGGTTGCAGCCGTCATTGTTGTTTGGCAGGTCCGGGCTGGGGATTCGAACCCGCCACCTTAGGTGTACATGGCTGGCGCCTTAGCCGGTTGAGCTGTAGGTGCTGAGCCATCCACAGGTCTTTACACCAGAGATCAACCAGGCTGGAGAGAGACGGGGACACAGCAGAAGGCTCCCTGCCCCCACCCCAAAGCAAAAGCAGCTGGGCCGGCTCCTCCCTCCCCCACCTGACGTTTTAATTTAAAGCAGCAAATATCAGTAAAGGAGAGAGCTGGTCACCACCTACCGTTTGACTTTTCACTATCTGCAGGTTTCATCTGAATGGGATGATGCATCTAAAAACACAAAAGGGAGACAGTAAAGGCAGATTCAACAGCTGTAAGAACAGGCGCAGGAATCTGAAGCAATTTGAGTACTGACATGGTTTTAGGGGCACATAAATAGTAACAGGACTTCTCCCAGGTAAAATGTGCTATAATAGAAAGCAAGCCTGTGCTTTACGTTCAGGCATCTAACCCTTTTAAAGCCACGGGGCCCTGTAACCCAGTATGTATTTGGAAGCTGGGGCTTGGGTGTCAGACAAGTTTGAAACCTGGTTCTGCAACCCAGACTAACTGTGCCTCTATGTGACAGGTAAGTCTGGCTCTGCCATTCATCACAGCTGTGTGATCCTGGGCACGGGTCTTCACCTCCCTGAGCTCCGGCCTCCTCTCTGAGCTGGAGACAGCACCTGCGTGGCAAGGCGGTGAGGACTATGGGGGAAATGCCGGTACCTCCCACACAGAACCTAAACTGTGCTGGGGAACGTGTGGAGGTGGCACGATCACAGACTGACAGCAGACAGCCTGTGCTCCTCTCTGGCCCGTCTCTGTCTTCGAGGCCCAGCAGTTGGCTGACTCAGGTGCAGCGCACAGTTCTCATCAGATGCTAATGAAAGTACAGGAGCGGAGAGGCACCGCAGGACGGAAGGACAGACAGAGAGGAGCTCGCCATCTCGCAGAGCAGGAGGAACGTGCAGCAGGGGCCACGCTCCCACCTGTGGTGGACCTGGATGCCCTCTGGCTCTCACATGGTGCCCTCCACTCCACCAGCATGATCCACTGAGCTTGCCCCAAGCGCAGAATGCTACTATTTCCAATTAAAATAAATCCCTCCAACTGCATTCAAAGGCCCTCATGCTTTAGATTTCATCACACACCAAGGAACACAGAAGCCACAGGGTGGCTGGAGTCACTGGCTATGCAGATGCTTTTATCATAATGGGTCCCGTTCTCTCCGGACCTTTACCTCCCCCAAAGGACTCCACCATGGGCAATCCACAACTTGGGGCTTTATCTCATTTAAATGAAAGGGGAACAGGATTTGGCTCTGGCACCGGCATACTGAGAGGTTACCACTCGGCAGCCAGGACCGCGTACACCTGCACAAGGTGAGTGGAGATCACCGAGGAACAGGAGCCTGAGTATCTGGGCTCCTCCACTTCTCCTAAAGCCAAGAACACAGGCCTCGGGACGTGGGGTCTCCCAGCATTCCACTCCATTCCTTAACGGATTCAATTTTGGGGGGATATTAGAATGAGAATCAATGTTTAGGGGTACGTGAACCAGTTTTTTTCAGAAAAGAGTGAAATATATATCTTAAAAAGTTAACTTCTGTGGAAACCCCTGATTTGGGCTGAGGAATGTGACCTCCTCGCTACAGAGAGAAGGACAGAAAGCCTACTCCGGGCCAATGCACAGAGGCTTTGTGTGAGCCGCCCTGCAGTGCCCACCTACAGGCCCATCGACTGCGGTAGACACAGGGACAGCACGTCAGGCTGTGGACTAAGGCCCACCGAGGAGTCCACCCCCTCAGGTGCTCGCTGTGGTGGAGGCACGCTGTTGCCAAGAGCCAGCCCAGCGCCTACTCGAGTCTAGGGAGGACTCAGGGCGCACCTGAGTCCTGTAGGAAAGGAAAGCCCAGGCTCCCAGTAAGGGCAACATCTGGTTTGATCCTTGAACTTGTCAGGAGAGGATGGAGGGGAAGGCATGTGACACCCAAGGGCGACCCCGTGCAAGGACGTGGGGAGGAAGAACCCAGCTCCTTTTTGCAAGGAGTCCCAAAGGGAAGCAGGGAAGGCGCTCAGAGGTGGGCAGTTCCCAGACCTCAAGGGCCTTGAGAACTGAGGAAATGAAACTGTCTAAAAGTCCCACGGTCAGGTACGGAAGATTTAAGTAGCAAAGGCAGTAAGACAGACATCCGTATTCTAAGAAAGTCATCTGTGGCTAGGCATAAAGGCTGGCTTACAGAAGAGACACCAGAGGAGGGGACGGTTACAGGTGCTACCACAAAGGGTCCATGGGACACTGATGAAGGATGTAACTCAGTGGCGACCGGCTGGAGGTGGGGCTGATGGACAACCTGATGGGCAGTGGTGGGGCCACTGCCCACAGGGGAAGCCAGTGAGGAGACCTTCATGTGACCTGACTGTGGGGTACAGGGAGAACCTGGGGGCCGCAGGCGTGGGCACAGGTGTCAGTGAGGGAAGGCAGCGTGAGAAGGGCCACAGACAGGACTGTGGGGAACTTCAGGACCGAGCACAGCCAGGGGGCAAGGGAGCCACAGAGGGGCATTTCCAAGCATGTACCACCAGAGGCCATGAGCAGCTGTGCCCATCTGGCAGAAAAAGCTGTCTAGGGAGCTCATGGGAAGCAGTTTCCGCGAGTGGTGGGGGCAGCAAGAATGGCCAGAGGAGAATCAGGAAGAACTGCAGCGGGCGGGGTAAACGAAGACGCCTATTCATTGCACAGGGAGGGGACGTGATGGGGGACAGAAGCAGCAATGTTGCTTTCAAGCAGGAAAGACTCACGAGTGTTAAACTGCTGGTGACAGACGAAACTCCCAGGTCCCAGACAGGAGAGGAAGCAGGTGCACCGGCCTTATACAGAGGACTCAAACAGTGAACGTGGCTCCCGCCCTCAGAGTGCAGCCATCAGGAGGCCAGCACACACACATGTAAAGATGGTGACAGACACCAGAAGTCAAAGGGGCACAGGGAGCCTTCAGATGCAGCTGTGAGCACTGGGAGGGTGCAGGGGGAAGGCCGGGAGCCGCCAGGACAGAATCACTCTGAGGCCCCACAGGGCTCTACAGAGACACAGAGCCACGTTCTTGGCAGACGCGTCTGAGGGGGAAGAAGCGATGTCATGAAGGATGTGGTGGTCAATGCCAGAGTCGGGATCAGAAGTCCAATCTCCCTTCCTTCACTCCTCTGTTCCACCCTCTTCTCCACAAAATGTCCCCCTTGGGGCCTGGACATATGAGCCTTCGAGAAAGCTGTAGGCCTCCCTGGTCCTGCAGGCCTGAGACAGCCCCCCAGGGGAAGGGCCCTCCTCCCAACTCCTGCAGCCCTGTGTCTCCGCAGCTGGGTGGCCAGTGTCACGACTTGACTGTTTTCATGTAGCTGGTGAGAGAATTAGCTGTTCCTGACCCACAATGCCCAGAAGGCTCGGGAAAGCACTAGTTAGTAGTAGTGACGGCTCGGTCTCTGCGGATTTGGCCTTGTTTTGGTCTTCCGCAGGCTCAGTGGGCAGAAAAGTCAACTTAGCAGATACCAGAATCATTAGACCACGGTGAATCCTGAATGGGTGGTCGCCCTACTCCAGGTTTGTTCAGAAGCCAATGGAGATAATGTATGCAAAGCCGGCGACCTTCTTGGAGGAAGGTGTTCAATCAGCACTGTATTAAGAACAGCTCATCATCACCAACAGTTCATTTGAGTTACAAGTTTCTGATCACATCCAGGATGTAAATGTCAAGGCAGGCAAAAAAGGGTTTGGAGGAGTTGTTCTCACAAGGCCTCACTTCTTCCGAATCTCCTGAGTCTAAGAACTTCAGTAGATTTCTTTAGGTGAGCAGGGAAGATCTTGTTTTGCAGGGTGGGGTGGGGTGGGGTATCCAATTTAAATTTTCAAGTTATAAAAAGGTGAGTCTTCCCCGTTACACAAATTGTTTCAAAGATTTGACCCAGACTGACTCCGGGACTACTGATTCATTCACTGTTTCTGCTCTTAGCAGACTCGATGTCTGATGCAGGAACAGAGGATGAGGAAGACGTCTCATGATGGAGCTGTACTGTGCCCCTGGGGCAGGGACAGTGACCATCTCCCCCTGTGTGACACTGGGTGTGACACAGGGTGTGTGCAGATGCACAACACGGACACAGACTGAGGACACACCAGCGCAGCTGACTCAGATGAGGGAGGAGTTGAGCTCACGCTTGATGGAGCCCTAACCTGATGATAACTGGAAGACACGTGAAGGGCGTTTCAGGGAAGAGGACGCAACATTTGAAAGCACACAGAAAGAGAAAACAGTTCAGTAAAAGAGTGACCACACGATGACATTCTAACCATTTGCTAAAAACAAAGACCGTTTACTAAAAACAAAAGCCCTAAAGCCTAACTAACAACACTGACAGTGAGGAATATACTTGGGATGGGAGAATTTCCTGTAAGACAGAAACAATGCTGGTCTGCCTAATCCTGAGTTAGAACTGCCCTAGGCACCCGACTGGTAGCCAGAGGCCACACCCTTAGCACCTTTCTCAAGGACTGAAGACTAAATCAGCAGCTCTTCCCTACGGCTTCCACTGTGGCCAGGGAACCTGGCCTGTCCGCTGCCAGGGTCAGATGTGGCTGGGGCTGGATCTCCATATCGTTCTCTGTGCGGACTTGGAAGGCCCAGCGGATAGCAACAGACCAGGAGAAGGCCCAAAGAACAAGCAAATCACTCTCCCCATCTGGGTACCATCTAGTCAGGTGTAAGGAGATCTCAGAGTCAGGCAAAAGCCAGTTCCCAGGGGCTACCTGCTTCTTTTGCCTATGGCAAGTGAGCACAGGGGCTTCGAGAGTTTTTGCAAGGAGTCTCCTAAGAGACATGAAAACATTCACATACTAAAAGCCTGGACTTCACTGCTATGCAACATATCCAGGTAACAAAATCACACCTGTACTCCACAGACGTACACAACTGAAAAAAACATTCCGTAGTCCATACGGCCATGATCTGTCTGTGCTGCTTGGTGAGTCTAGGAATTTATAAACACCAGCCTGTGACATTTACAGGGTTGCATGCCTGGACACAGCACTGAGCCCACCGCTCGCGTCCCATTCAGCTGTACTTGCATAAAACTTAGGAGACGAGAGGAGAGCTCTGGTTCTCTCACGCTAGGCTCTCTGCAGCCGCCTGCACCCGAGGAACGGCAGGAGCTGGGGTCTGGGGAATAGACCCTGCTGAATGATGGGAGTAAATGTCACAGTCTATTTCTTCAAGTTTACGTTTCTATCAAGCAAGG